GATGACGAAGAAGGAAAGAGAGAGGAAAGATATCTGATGTGATAATCAACTTTTGGTTCATCCTGGGGCAAATTCTGGTTAAATAGTTTTTAAAAATGGAGAATTTAGGGCTCAATAAAGGCTCGACTGACAATTCCTGCAAGAAAAACAAAACTTACCCCAACGAGTCGTATGCCTATTTAATACATTCGGCTTCGTATTACCACTTCGACTCTTAATGACGTTTTGCGTTCGAGTTGAACCATCGAAATATCATCTTTGGAGTTCCGCAAATTGTTCTCTTCCATTCCCGGTCGTCGTCATAGCAACGCCTTCTTACAATAGAAGTGGAGTAATATGAATGCAAGAGACTTAAGAACGAGTAGAGTGCGCATCACGCTTCTTCTCATATTATGTTTGTACTGGAAAAATATTTTAAATTTCCTAAAAATTGCCAAGTCCCTACCACCACCTTCTGCCATTAAAGCCATTTACTGCACAATTAATATATCTTAATAAGAAGATTAAGAGAAAGTATGATGAATCACCTTTCTAATCTTAATATTCTAGTTAGAAAGTTCGAATAATTTTTTAAGATTGTTTAATATTTTTATCTCTGTTTATATCTAGTGGAAAGGGAATGTTTATCGATAGAAACGACACTTATCTACAATTAATTAACATAATCCTGTCATCGTTGGCGTATTATCATGGATGGGCTTTTCGTATTTACTCAACTGATGAAGATTTATCGACTGAATCTTTTATAAAATCACTCTTTCTCTATTATTAAGCGAGTTTTATAAGAACTGGTAAAGAGAAGTTCCAGCTTTATTCACTGAAGTCTCTTATAAATTTATGAATCGCCCATTCTCTTTAGATAAAAATTCATTTATTAACGTGTAAAGATGAATTTTTTTGAAATAATTACGTTGGTGTCCATGTAAAATTTTTACAGCTATATAAAGTGGAGTGTTGTTAGAAGTATATAAATAATTCTTCATCTCTCTAACGGCATTACGCTTCAGGCAAAAGTCACAAGTCTCGATAGAATTTTACAAAACCCTAGCAATTTTATCGTCTCTGCTAGAAACCAACACCATCTTCAACCATATTTCAGGTGGGGATGAGATGTTGTCAGCGACATTGGACATTATTTATGGTTTCGGAGACACGTGTTTGCGACACAACTCTCCCGACTGCAGTCAGAAAACACGCATCTCAGTCATCCTTGGCATCAGAAAGTAGGTAAAAGATTCTTTACCTCTTTGTCGAGGAAGGAAAATAAAATGAAGAAAAAAGATTACAATTGCCAGAAATGGAAAGAAAAATCACTCGTTAGATTAATTTAAATTCTAGTGTTTTGCCAAACTTTTCGCATTATGGAGTGGGTAGAAGATTCGCAAGACAATCAGCAAAACTATGCGAAAATAACGCTTTTGCAGGCTCCGTTATCGCTAGTCCAACAGATATGAAAGTTTGCCGCCAGCTTGCCATCGTAATAACGTCAGACTACACCTATAAATAACGGTAACCGTTTCACCTCAGCATGCAATATGTACAACGAAATCTAAATTGAAATCGTACTTTTACAACGACGTCTGCCTCTGCCACATACTTCATCCGGGGATGCAAACTCTGGCAATTGGTATGGTCCGACTCTCTCCATTGATTCCAACGTTAATAACATCGCCCGCTTCTTTCTTATTAGCAGGGCAGATGTACAGGATTGCTGCTAAGTCCTGAGGCGAGCCTACGTCATTGTTGTCTTGCTACTACTCTTATTAGGACCAATGTTTGTATTGATGTTTACTCTGACGCACTCTCCTCCGTCCTGTTTAAACTTCGAGCATCCATATTATCACTCTCCTAAAATTATTTATTAAATGTATTACATGATAAGTCAATCCGTTTTTGCTTTATTTTCATAAATTTTATACATATAAAAAGAGGGATTTTTTTCAAAGAATTCAACCCAATTCTTTTTTTTTCTTCTATCGCTTTACATGTTCTAATATGCGTAACATCTGTTCCGGCTTGATAAATAAAAGTATCATTTTTATAATTGAATTACTATTTTGTTTTGCTTCCGTGCTACATTCCTTTAACGAAAATTGCTTTTTTAAATATATTTAATATTAAATAATATAATATTTTTATAAAAATCATAAACAGAATTAAGCGTAGTTTGAAAATAGATGAGGAGGAGTGATAAGTAGTAGTCATTTTTTCATCTAAGTTGAGTAAATATAACTGAGAATTAAGGCTTTGCATTGAATTATTTACGATATTTACGAAATAAGAGTGGAAAAACTAAGCGAAAGAAATTCTTAGAAACATTCGGAACGTCGTATTAAATCCGTTAATTAAGATTATAAATAAAATTGATCACTTTATAATTTTCGCTATGATTTGACAAGAAATTATTAATTAATTGGCTTCTCTTTAGAAACAACAGACATATCAAAATATATTATTTAGAATGTGACGTATCGAGAATTATTTATAGCAAAATTTCTCGATTAATAATACAATCGCAACTTTGATATTTGTCAGAATGACTCATACTCAATAACTCTCACCTGTGGTTAAGTTGGAGCCACATGGGACCGTCTTTCTCGCCTGGTGATACCCTGTAGTGCGACCTTGTAACCACATACGGGGATTAAATGCTTCAAACTTGTAAGCGAAAGCCTTCTTGCGAAGATTTCTAATGGAACAATTCCATTTATTAGATCGAAACATAAAAATTGATGTAATTGTTCCAAAGTTTATTTACGTTTCTCCCTTAAAACTACATTTAAATCGATTGAATTTTCGAGACTTGGTAATTTAAGTTTGTTCTTCAACAAAAGACAAATGTTACAATAGTCCCGTGAAATTTAACTGTCGCTCGAGGCTCGTTAAATAAGTTTAAGCACGATTCGACTCGGCCCCTGTAAAAGTCTCTTCTCCTTTAAACCGATGTGTTAAACAGTGAAGAGTTAAAGAGGAAATTTTGTCCTTAAATTTTTTTATTTTCAATTTTATTACGAGGAAACAATGATATATTTTATTGTTAAATGAAACTTCGATGAGTTTAGAATTTAATAAATAAACGTTAAAGTAATTCTTATTAAAGGTCATTTATAATTTGTCAATAAAGCAACTTTTTGTTAAAAAAAATACGCCAACTTCGACTGAAAGGTTGGAGTTAAAATACTTATTTTTTACGTCTAGAAATATAAAATTTTGCGAGATATTTAAGAATTTTAAAGAGTAATAAAGGAAAAGTTCATTTTGTTTTTCTGATAGCATTACTTATTCAAGGAACAACATTAATTTATATCTTACCCCATGGCAGCTGCTTGCCTTTCTCTAACGTGTTTGAATCACAAAAATAGGAACAGATTCCGTTGCTTAAAGAAATGACTGGCGATAACTTTGCCGAATAGACGAAGAGCAATGCAAGCGGAAAGACCCAATTTAGAAAAGCCTCGTTCGATCGGCTCCAGAGAGCGACGTGATCAATATAACAGAGGAATATATTGAGTTTTTTCGAGGAAAAAACCGCCAGTAAAGAGGATTTCTCTCTACTCATGAACGTTAGACAATTAGAGTTAAATCGGGGATCGTCTAAGCTATACGTTACGCAATACACCCCCTACAAAACTTTACCCTGCATCATCATCTAAACATGATTATACTTCAAATATTAGAGATATTGTGTGACTTTTTGATCAAGATTTATCTCCCTCCCTCTCTCTATGCGTAACCCCTTCTTGTCAATAGAAGTCGGAATTAGAAACTAGATTAAAATATTCATCATCAATGTTTGTTTTCTAAATGTGATGCGGTTCTCTGTTAGTAGAAGGATATCCATCTGAGAAAATCGAAAAATGAGTCACGAGAGCATGAGTCAACGTGAGTCTCGGTAAAATCCAGGTAGAATGGATTCTGATTCATCCGACTTAATGATGACTAAACGATACACTTCATCAATAATCAGCTACGTTTGTACATTAAATTCGAATCTGTACAAAAGATTTCTGTCGAGAAAAATGTTTACATCTTTCCCCCATAGTTCACCACTAACTCGGCAGAGGGCAGCACTTAACCCAAGTTTACAGTATAGGGTCGTAACGAGTAGTCGGTCGACACAATTAACTCAGAAAAATCCGGTTGCGGCGGCGAATAGTTATAAATTATGCTAATTACGCACTAAAAATGGGTGAGTAGTAAAATTATTTATATAGAAAATGCTTTCAGCTTTCGAATAAAATGTATTTCTAACAATAAAACTTAAGAGATATTTTTAGAATGGATAATAATAATGGTATAAGAGTGGATAAGTTTAGAGTCGTTTAAAGTTTAAAAATGCACCGACGTAGCCCAACCCGTAACGTAATCTTATAGTTTATGATATAAGTAAGGTGGTAGAGAAGAGAAAAAGTTACCAGATCCATTGTTTTTTACTAGATTTCGAGTTATAAATAGGTGGGACGATTGTATAATTGGATATGGTGGATAGTAAAGTTTAAGTTGGGATGTTGCGGTACCTTATCCAGTCTGTGGGACTAAATAGAATTTACAGAACGGTAGTGTCGGATACCACATAAAAAGGTTGTTATATACTCCAGATATCACTGGTCAAATTGTCCAACAAGTCGTTTGCTGTACATTTTATTGGTTCGGTTTTATATCCGGAGACATACGTGATTTCACTACTGCTATCATTACATCGGAAGGAACAAAGGATTTTTTTTTTTTCAAAATTCCTTTATTTATATTGTAGTAAAATATATTTCTTGATTACAAGATAGAAGAGAAGTAACCGAATTGTACAAGTCCAAATCACAATCACTCTTCTTTCTTTATTTATCGGATGCTCAAGTATGCAAATTATCTAGCAGAGAAGTCGAACTTCTCGAAAGCATAAACAAAAGAAATGTGGAATTTAATTTCGCTGATAATTTGTCCTATTTAACGATGCTTTCTCGAGAGTTTTCTCTCACCATTTTGTCGCATTCCTAAAGAGAAATGCAAATCAATCACGTGACTAAGCTGAACCCTTTTTTTTCCTTTCTCTTCCTCCAAAGGAGAGAGAGTTAAATTCACAAACTGTCACGAATGTTTTTATCAATTCTTAGCTTGTAACATTCATTTACGTATTCTCGTATGTATCTACATACTTATAAGAGATTTTAGCAGCTTGTACTCTTAAATAAAAGCGAAGAATATCTGTTGGTGGGGTCATCCATCTTATCATTAAAACCTGCTCTTTTCTCATTGACCGGGTTAAGGTAGGAAGAGTCGAGCAGGGGAGAAGTGCACGTTGCCGCTTCTTAACTCGAGCGAAACGACGATTTTTGCATAACGCCACCCAAGCGCGCACTCACTACGACATTTGCATTTGTGATGCGTGACACCCGACCCATCGCACACCTCGTGGAGTCCTCTTCCGCCGAAATAGTTCGCTTAAGGGGGATCCAACGGTCATCAACGTTGTATTAAACTAGGGTATAGGAAGAGGAGGGGTGAAGCGGGGGGTCCGGTGTGACGTCGACGTGGTGCCTTAGCGCCAGGTGCTAGTCGAATAACACGGTACGGAACTAGAGAGACGACGCGGAGGGAGACGGTGTGTGTCGGTCGGTGATTTTATCGCCGAGTGGCTCTACGACTTGGCGCATTTTGTTAGACTGTGAGGTTGGAGAGGTTGTGTTTGGGATAGACGTCGACCACACTTTACGTTGTGTTTTCTTCTGTTTTGTAATCGGTTTTCTGTTTCTTGTTCGACATCGTCTGTAGCAGTGAGAAAAGTCTTGGAGGAGAACCGATAGCTGGACATAACGAGAACCAAGAACGCCACTTCAAGGTTAGTATCCCAATATGGCAGGTGGTAGATTTAAGTACGCTAACAATCCAATTTTCTTCCGTCTCCTTCTCCTCACCTATATATATAATTGGCCGGCCGCTCCCGAATTTAAATTAGGAACCGTTTAAGGATGACCACGGCAGGAAGTCATCCCCGTTGAAAAACACATAAATAAAATTAGAAAAGGCCATCCTCTCTGGCCTTTTTTCCTCGATTGGTTAAAGACGAGTGCGGAAATATCGTATCGTTGTTGGAGCGAGGAGAGGCAGTTCGATATCTTTTAACAGAAAAGCCCCGACAGCACATGGTCCGCCATGTTGTATTGTCGTGCAGGATCATTAAAGCGTTTCTTAGTCTGGTCTATACACTACACATCCACACTCGATGTGACGTTACGAATTTTTACACCGTTAACGCGTGTTTCCTACACCGTCCTCTCGTCCCGTTATCTTTAAAAGGGGCGAGGAAAAGAAAGCCGTATTTTAAGTGTTGTTATACCGATTGGTTACTCCTTCCCTCGAGCCGGATAATGGGAGCAACCCACTTGGAGAAGTTTGAACTAGTTAAAGTTAGTCGATACTAGATGTAATCGAAGCACTGTGTATGGCAATAATTCTATATAAATAACGGCTCCTCTATCCTCTCCGCACGCTCCCCTCTATCGGGAGAATGGGAAGAACCCGAGGTTTGTAATCGGAGCAATGACGGCTTCCCAGCAGCACAAGGATGTAATGCCGGGTATCGGGCCGTGTATCGAACAGAAGGACTAACGTCTAACACATCATTTACTCGTCCGGAGATGGTTAAAATGGGGGTGGAAATTAGCCGAAAGCCTCGTCCTTGCGGGGACGTGTTTTGCGATATTTTGTTGATGGACATAGATCAATGTTGATGTCGAATGTTTGGCTGGTTGCTATAGGCAACGTTCGTGTTGACACCGGTCACACAGCTAGCGGGTTATTCACTCAACAAAATGCGAACGATCCTGGAGTTTATGTCGCTCCCTGTCTGCGCATGATCGCCGCCAACGTACGCGTACGTTCGTACTACGAGGAAACCCGAGGGGAGTGCCGAGGAATGCACGTTTGGCCAACGGTTCGGTCGGGTGCCGTTTTAAACGGGGTGGCTGGCAATCGAAACTGGATTTAAAGCGCTTTGATTAAAGCTTAAAAGGGACGACTGCTCGCGCGTGCAGATTGATGACGTTTGCGGTGTTTAGAACGGGACCACCTGGAACGTGTCTTATGGCGCAGCTGCCATTGTTTACCGTGGAAAATCGCTTTATGGCCGTCCACGTGACCATGTTTAGTTTGTAAATGGTCATTGTCTCCGACACGCGGTATGCCACTTCTCCCCCCCTCGAATTAACGCGATTCGTAGGAGTAGGAAGCGCGTGCGTGTGTTTGTTTTCAAACGATGTTGAGTTGCATTTTTTCCTGCTTTCTTTTCCTTTCGACAGGTACAAACATGAATGGAATGGACGGGAATCCAGGGGTCCAATTACAACAGAACGGCACGCTTCACAATTCCGTACAAGGTTCGTCACCGGAGGATAGCAAGACCAATTTGATAGTTAACTATTTACCGCAGGCAATGTCGCAGGAAGAGATTCGTAGTTTATTCTCTAGCATCGGCGAGGTGGAATCGTGTAAATTGATCAGAGACAAAGGAACAGGTACGTAACTGAATCGACTTATTCTTCGGTCCTTCGTAGGACGTACGTTTAAAACGGTTATTTCGAGAATATTTACCCAAAAAAAAGCAAAGCACAAGCGAAGTTTAGGCTGAGTGCCACACTTAAATAATCAAAAGTAAGATTTCTAAGAGATCTTTGCTCTCTGAAGACGATAGACGTTGTCTTAGAATAGACGAAATTGTCATCAGTAGACGCTTAATATCGTCTAGATGAGATCTAAAATAGAATTTCGTAGTAAATTCGTATCGTTGGAGATTGGAGATAATAACATAATCCTTTTCACTACAAAAACATCGCTGTAATAACATCCAACGCGGCCAATAAACAGTGTTTCTATTTACGGATCTCCGTGACCTTAGCACATCTCGAGCGTCGGAAGGAGGCGATTTATTTCCAAATTTAATAATAATAATAACGTTTTTGTGTAAAACGCCGACTTTGCACTTTGGGAAGAGCCTATCTGGCTCTGTCATTGTTTCCAAAATTATCCAAACTTGTTCTCTAAATGATCCTCATTCGACACCACTTTAAAATTTATGTCGAGGTTAGCGGAGCTTTTTACTGCTTCGGAGACGAGAAAATTCGTACCTCGACGACGGCGACTGTTTGTTTTTTTTTCAATAAAAAAAAACTGTTTCTCGTCCGTCCGTCCGTTAACGGAAGTACATCCCGCAGATCAATCAAATCCTTGTCCCGCAACGATTGTGTAACATTAAGTACAAGTTTGAGTCAACATATTCATTCGAAGGGCTTATCTGCACACGCGACAAGGAGAGGGGATCTACTATACAGATGGAGAAGGGATCAGCCGTCTATTGTGTAGTACACGTGGCCGGAAGGGAACATATGTTGAATCACGTGACACGAGAGCCGTCACCTCCAGGTGGTGCCGGCCTTTTGTCCTTTCGGGACTCCCTAATTGCAACCGACGACGGGGCGTCTCCCCAACCGGTGGTCTTCGAGGGCTCCCGCGTTTTTTTTCTATCCTCTTCCTCCTCCTTCTCCTCCTTTTCGGGTTCCCCGGTTTAAACAAAGCCTCCCCGATCCCAGCGATAGGGTTAAGTGAACTAGCAGCTGCGTTGCCGAACTGCACGTGACGTCTGCCATGGCCGGAGAAGGGCTTCGGAAACCTTGCAAGTGGCCACCCTCTTCCCCTCCCCCTCCAACCGATGGTTTAGGGTGTCTCGCGCTTGCGCCACCAGCCGAAACGGGTGTAGTTTTTCCCTCTTATCCCACGGAGTTACGCTTTGCTCCCACCGGAGGTTTTTTTTTTATTTTTGGAGGGGGAGAAATGAAAATTGGTTTTCCTTTTCCGATGTGTATCGCGTATAAATTAAATTTGGAAAAATTTAAACGTTCGGAGGCGGGAGTCGAACGGAGGAAGAACGAGAGTCTGACTACTGACTAGTGTGGTTGCGAGCGAAGGTTTAGTAGTAAAATTGGTTATGTAACGGAAGGTGCTAAAAGTCGAGTTACGACGAAAGCGGAAAACTCTCGTCAGCGCGTAAAAATGCAGGTCCAAAGATACGAAAATGAAAAAGGAAAGTAAATTTGGCAAGAAATTTTAATTGTGTAATTGTTTTTGTTACAGGTCAGAGTCTAGGTTACGGATTCGTTAACTATGTTCGGTCCGAAGATGCGGAGAAAGCCATAAATACACTTAATGGTTTGAGATTGCAGAACAAAACCATCAAGGTAAGGAGCCGAAAGTGCCGTGTCTGCGTTACCGAGTTACGGCGGTCCGATTGTCTGTTCCGTTGTTGGTACGTCACTCGATTTCGGGAGAGGCCACGAAGAGTAGGTAAAGGCCAACGTCCTCTTAGATTCCGGCGAAACATGCATATTGTCCTTCTGCCGTCATCTTCGTTCCCCTCCCGAAGCTGGGGAGAAGCAGACGCCGTTGTCATGGAGACGGAGCCGACCTTGCTTAGTCGCATCTGCCAAGAATCGATTTGCCACTACATCTACCTCAGCCAGTCGTAGAACTGCCTCTTGACTCCGGAGCGTCGTTTAAAATAGCAGCGCGCAACGTAGGAAGGGGGTGAAAGGCGATGACGTAGGCTGGCAGTTCGGGTTCTACTTTTAGCAAGAGAAGTTTCGTTCATAAAGCGGAGCTCGATGGAATTCCCGACGAGGTTTAGAGTAACGAACGATAAAAAGTGTGACAGCGAAAACAGTTTTGGCTTTCTGCCCCCTTTCCTCCGCCGCACCATTCGAGCATTCTGGTTAAATAGCCCGCAGTATACGATTGTTAGTCTGCCAACTCCGCCAGTCACAGTCACGTTACGCCACTGGTATGCAGCAAATGAGACATTGACGTATGTTTCCTCCTTTCCACGCGGAAAAAATGCAAACAAAGACGACTCCTCACCTGTCATGCTGGAGTGACGCGAGGACGAAACGAGGGAGAGAAAAAAAAATTATGTTCGTGTTTTCGGATTAAAATAATTAACGTAACTCTTACGGGATTTAAAATTTTTTTCCTGCTTCGCTTTTTTGCTAATTGGAACAATTAAACGTTTAATTAAAATCGCGATTTATCATCTCCCCTCGAGTGATGCTGGAGCGATGAATATTTTCTCCCGTTTCGCGCGTGATGCTGTGTTTTATAAAGGCAGAGACGAAAAATATACGCTTAAATTCATTACATTTATGTAGATTAGCGCGCCTAAGATCGATAAATCGCGTTGCATATGCGACGAAACATTAAAATCTTGCTCGTGATGATGATAAATTTGTAGAAAACGTTGGACCATTAGTAAAACGTAACTCGTAATGTTTCAGGTATCGTACGCTCGACCGAGCAGCGAAGCCATCAAGGGAGCTAACCTTTACGTCAGTGGACTTCCAAAGTCGATGACCCAACAAGATCTGGAGGGATTGTTTCTACCTTTCGGTCGCATCATCACTTCGCGCATCCTCTGCGACAACATTACAGGTAAGACATCATCAAAAAGCATTGGATAAATCCTAGCGGCATAGCGAGAACTGATTGGATGCTTCTTTTTTTTTCTTTCCTTCTTGCAACGCCTGCCTTTTCAAGAGGTTGACGTTCTTTCTTCTCCCCCAGGTCTTTCCAAAGGCGTTGGGTTTGTTCGTTTCGACCAGCGGATCGAAGCCGAGAGGGCCATTAAACATCTACATAACACCATTCCCGAAGGTGCCACCGAACCTATCACAGTGAAGTTTGCCAATAATCCCAGCAACAACACCAAAGCCATAGCACCACTGGCTGCCTATCTGCCTCCCCAACGCCGTTTTCCTGGTCCCATTCACCATCCTGCAAACCGGTTCAGGTATATTCCTCTGTCACCAGTCTCCAGGTACGAGTACAACCCGTCTCCATATTTCTGCATATTCGTCCTCTTCTGTTGTTTACGTTCCTTCTTGCTCTGTTTTTTTCTCGGTGCCGAGGCCAAGCAACCAGCATCGATGATTTTGTTTTGTTATATAAAGCATGTGGAAGTTCTTTCGCATTCTTCGGGATGCGAACGTTGATTTTAATATATTATTACGTTCATTCTTATGCAGAATATAATTTTTTGGTATTTTTTTGGTTACCTAACCGAGTTATTATCTAGATTTTTGCCTTTATATTTGCTTGCAGAAAGTTGAGTTAGTTTCATTTCTTTGCCTAATTCCAGAATGATATAAAAGCCTTTATTTAACCATTTTTTAATATTAAGTCTCTCTCTATATATATAAATAAATGATATTATATATATACTTTATATACATGCATAATATATATATACATATATAATATTTATATATATAAAATAATTATGAAAATAGAAAAGAAAAAAAAAATTATATAAATTTAGTGAATTTTAAGAGTGTTTAATAATTTAAATTGTTGAAAACAATATATATATATACATATATATAATGTAATTGTAATGTGAACTCGGGAAGGAGAAGGAATATGGACGAATTACCTGGAACATGGAGACAGAGTAAAGTACTTGATGGTACCTGATCATAAATTAATCAAAATCTGCATCTCGTTTGGCTGATAATAGAACAACCTCTCTAAAGATTAATCGTGTCAAATTAAACAATTCAACAAACGAGATACAGCAGGTAAAAGTTAATTTAAGTGCGCGTATTCTCTTATTTAAAATATCACGAAAAAGTCGCCTTCACGGATAAACAAGTTCTCTTTTTCTTTTTTTTCTCTTTTTTTTCCTCTGTTGATGTAGGTACTCGCCTCTGGCAGGTGATCTGCTGGCAAGTCCACTGCTTACAGGAACGGCCATCAACGGATCCGGTTGGTGTATATTTGTATACAACTTAGCACCGGACACGGAGGAGAACCTGTTGTGGCAATTATTTGGACCATTCGGAGCTGTTCAGAGTGTCAAAGTGATTAGAGATCTGCAGACCAACAAGTGCAAAGGATTCGGATTTGTGACAATGACCAACTACGACGAAGCAGTGGTTGCTATACAGAGTTTGAACGGTTACACGCTGGGCAGCAGGGTCTTGCAGGTCTCCTTCAAGACTAACAAGTCCAAGTCCTAAGTGCAACCTACCTCTTTAACCCCCGGGACTGCGAAGCTGAGGTGTGCAGGAAGAGGGAGCGTGATTTTTGATTTCTACGAAGCCGCCGCGAGATCTTTAAAGAAAAATAATAATAAATGAAGAATAATTAATTAAACATCCGAATCCCCTCTTCCCGACCACCTCAGTCGCCTCCGAAAACTGTCTGCCTCACCGAATATTGTCGGATGGGTGACGTTCCACGAAATTAAAAAAAAAAAAACAAAAAAAAAACAAACGATACCAAGGTCGGGAGGACACATCTCTCTAGTGTTTTTGAGCATATAGATCTCTTGTGCTGTTCCTCCAGCAGAAATATCTGCTAAAAAGTCATTATTATTATTATTTTCTTTATTTATTTTTTTGTTAGCTAATTTATCTTTTTAAAAACCAGGTAGATGGTCCGGTACGCCAGGAATTGTTAACGAAAAAAGTCAAGTTAAAAAAAAAAATAATAATAATACTCCGCAGGGGTTAGTCTTTTTACTTATTGTTAGAATCCCATTTATTCCGACTCCTCCTGCAAGTTTTTCTAGTCACAAATTTTGACCTGTCGTACCTGGATAAGTTCTACCTTTTAGTCAATTAAGAATATTTTAACTTATATATTTGCTAACCTATATAGTTGTAATATATACATATATATATTATTATTATAATTATTATATATATATATAATGTAACGCAAGAAGTGTTTACTTGTATTTTCATTGATAACAGTTGATAGTAGATAGACCTCTCCCCCTCATCCTTAGTTTAATCTTTATTTTATTTCTGTGTGTGTTTTTTTTTCTTTTGAGTTTTGCACGAACCGAGTTTCGTTCTTGTTTTTTTTATTATTATTATTATTATTTTTTGTTTTAATATATATATTATATTATAATTAATTAAATTAATTTCTACGTTTTTCATCTCTCTCCTTTGAGACATTTCTTTTTGTATGAATTTTTTTGTTTAAAAAAAATATATATATATTAAAAAGGTCACATTTTTCACGATTTTGGTTTTATTTTTTTCGTTTATTTTTTTCTTTTGTTTGCATTTAAAAAAATAATCATCATAAATTAACACATGCATGTTAATTATTATTATTTATTTATTTATTTATATTTATTTAAATTAACGTTATCATTACTGGCATAATGGGGAATACGGAAAAATGGTATGCATGTTGATGTATGATAAATGGGGAACATGCACAAAAGATTAAAAGTGCAAACAAAAGCCCCACTACAGTCACGTCACACATCATCGATTGATCGATTTCAAGGGATACTTTTAAATAAAGTGAGCCAATTCTTTCAGCCACAATCTCTTCAAACTTCCAGGAAAAATGTCTATTTTTGTAAAAGATCGAGAAGAAGCTGTTGGTAGGGCAATTTTACGCAAAAAAAAAAAATAATTAAAAAATAATAATAATACCCAGGACTTCTCTGTACCATATACAAGGTTGTGTGAACTGTTCTACCACCTTGTTCTTCCAGTAAAAAAAAAGTTTAAACATAAAAAAGGACAGACTACTATACAGAATAATCGAGGCTTTACCCTTGATGTGTGCTTTGATATACAAGGTACCAAAGTGATTTTTTGAGAACGGTGTTTACGGAATATAATTGTAAAAGCAATGATCTGAAAGGTCACAAGTTTTATTGTATATATATTGTGGACTGTTTGGGGACATTTTTGATAAAAAAAAATAATAATAATTAATAATAATAATAATAATTAATGCCCGATTTGTAGCAAGGAAAAAAAAAACGTTACTTTTTGCTACAGGATTTGAGACGGCATTTGAAGAAATCTCTAGTTATAGAACAGTTTAAACCGGAAGAAATATTATTAAAAAAATACATTCCGACATAGACACTACAAGCAAACATCAAAAAAAGAAGAAAAAAAAAAACTATTTTGAAGTAGAACTTTCTCTCAGATCATTCTTTTTTGCTGGTGACATATGTAATAATAACCCACTAGTTCCCGGTTTTTAGGAGTTCTTATTCTTAAACTGTTGGGTGCTGTTTGTGCTTTTGCCGACTCGAGTGGGGCAAAGACATTTTCCAAGTTGTCACAGGTGCTCGGCAATATCGTATGCAAACTTCGATTTATCTTTTACTCCCGTGTCCTTTAATCCCTTCTCCCACGATAAAACTGTCATTTGAAAGGAATTTTATACTTAAATGTCTTTATAAGCTTTAAAAGCTGGAGGGGAGAAAAATCCTTGTAGTGTCTAAGGGATATATTAATTAATTTATTTTTTGATTATTTAATTATTACGAAGAAATTCGCTAGCCAAATCTACATTCCCTCAAATTTAGACCAATCTTAGGTGACGAGACCAGGTCTAAAGGTCACACACATTCCATTTTGTGATAACCTCTATCGATGCAATAAGGGCTACTCACTCAAGTTTTGACAGTGCATTTTGGAACCACTTTCAACTATCACCATTTACCGAACGTGTAGCATGGTTCTGTCCTGTTCAAAGCCTCAGTTTGATAAGGTCTGGATATTTAGAGGCTTGATTGGATAGGCCAAATTTTATTTCAAATAAAACAACTCTCTATCCAACCCCCTCGTCATATTATATAACTATTTAATAAAGAAAGAAATGAGTAAAAAGAAAATAATGTTTATTCACTTCCTCTTTGTACAATTCTTAGTCTGTTTTAAGAATTATATTCTACCCTTTTTCCTTCCTCCCTCCGTATTTGCAAACTTTTTATGGTATTTGATCACGGTTGGCCATTCTAGTTATTGTCGGCAACCCCCTAAAATGAAGCCACTCGAACCATTCCAACGGGAGGGGGGTGTTGTTGATTCAAAAGTGGCTTCAGGAATTATATCGAGAATATAAAAAAAGGTAGCCTCTATTTCACTACTTAAGTAGCTTATTCCAAGTTTTTGAATCGTACCTAGAATAGTTTGTGCAGCAGGAATTGTTTTGCAGTTTTTGATGTTTGTTCAGTTTCGTGATGTGCAAGTTGAGTAGTAGTTTATCCTAGTGTTCTCGATGGCAAGCAGCTTGTAAGTTGTTGCATTGCCTTTTTGTGCATGTAAGTTCTTTTTAATATTGAATACGCTTTAAAATTCTACTTTACGAAGCTATTTCACTTTGTCTCTTTGGTCGGTGTCGATTGATGTGCTTTAAAAAAAAATTAAAACAAAGAAAACTCCATGTGCCCGTCGAACTAAGTTTTATCTTCTCACTTGTGTATCTCCCCTTCCTGCCCCCGAATTTCCCTTCGTATCCCCTAATTTAGGGCCAAACGTGGGGGGCAGAAGCGGGTGGAGGGGAGAACCACCGAGGTCTCTGGTTGGTTCTGTTCAAATTAGACGGCCCTAACTGGAATGGCCTGTTTTTTTCTCTGGACGTGGAATTTTCGCTGCTTAACTATAACGGTTTATGAAGTTTTTGCATTGTTGCAATTCGCGAATTTGAATTTATTCCTGTGTCGGGGAAAGTGGTGAGACGAACAGGTGGGGAGGGAGTCTCTTCTCTCCTCCCTCCCCAACTTGTGAGGATGGCTGTTGTACGTTTCCAGACGTAGTTTTGACTGTATTGTAATTTGTACTTTTCCATGTTGACACTTAATAAATTTCCAATATCTTGGAGCCAGTGTTGTCTATTCACTTTAAAAAAAGTTTTTTTAAGAACGGGAAGAGCTCAATCTCTAGCGTCGAACTCAGAGAGAGAAAGATTAAGAGTAACGCTAGAGAATGCAGCTTGAACATACACACCAATCCCTGATTTAAAAATGTAAAATATATATAAAGAAAAAGCCGAGTGTTTTTTTCATGTGAAACATTTTTTAAATTGGAATAAATTGATACATTTTCTTTTCCAGCTGTCGCATTTTGCTTTCGAGTCAGCTGTTCTTTATTTGGGGAGGGTAGCCGGCCATGACCCTACCAACGGTACCTCGTGCTCAACAATGGTTATTGAAGTAGTGGGGGTCACGTGCCCGTTACAATAGTGTTTCCCCTAACCGTCATCCGTAGTTCATTGTCCGATCACCCAAGTCGTTACGTCACAACTGCACTCAGCTGGTTGACAGCTGGCATCGACCGCCTCGTTACCCTTTTCCTTTCAATAGGCGCTAAACCGTAGACGACGGCGACATCTACCGGACGCGGATCGAACTACATTCGAAATTTAAAATTTGAAAAAACGGTTTTTTTAAATATTTTTATCCAATGAACGGCGCGGAAAATTCGTGATCGTGTCACGTGTCTTTTTCAGATTTTATTTCGGGATTAACGCGCGTAAAATCTCGATTTTTAACTTATTCGTTACACGAACTGGCGTTTATTTTAATTCGTAAAGATTTTTTGAGTAATTTCTACTCAAATTGTTGGACGATGTGTACGAGAGAATTTGGACGTTACTGCTGCATATTTTAACTCGAGATTTATAGGGATTTTTCAACGTGGAAGAAGAAATTGATGGGTGCGAAAGTTTGAAGAATAAAAGTGAAAAGTTATTCAAAACGAGCTCGAAAAATGGATTACTCTTCGAAGATTCCTGTGATGAATGTTGGTTACGTTCCCCAATACGATAATGGAAGGACGTGGTTCCATTTTTAGCCACCTGGTTACTAACTAGGACACGTTAACACATTGATTTTATAATTTTTAGACGGTGAAGCACGGTTAACACCTGCAACAGTCGATGCCCCCTTCCGTCCCTCCTTCCACAATGGCAGTCGTTATCGACGAACGGTTTGCCTTCACCGGATTAAAATCGATTCTTTGTGCTCCCCTACGATTAATCAATCTAGGTATATCGCAATTGCTGCCGCTGCTGCAGCAGCAGCAGCTCCTGCTTGTAGTTCTTCGACATCCGAAGTTGTAACATTATATGGTATGAGTAATTTGCGGCAGTTCAAATAGGATTATATATTTTGGCCCCATCTTAATATAAACTTTATCACACACGCACTTAAATTGATTTTCTCTGCTGTTTGGAGGTCAAAAATTCTCAAATTTTCACGCTTTTTTTAGTGGTTTCTTGTGGCAAAAATGGGTTAAATATAGATTTTCTGCGGACAAATGTCACTTCTCTTGCTTAAAAGTAGTGTTTAAATTACACAAAGGACACACTAAATACAAAATATCACCCCTTTATAAAGTTAATTTTTCTTTTTATATTCAAAAATCGGGCACAAATGTTGCGACTAAGTCGGAAAATCATGAAATTTGATGCTTTATAAAATAGATTACACGCGTACTGATTTTATATGCATATATAAGCATATGAAAGAGTGAGAATAATAATCATTTCTGGCTATGAAAGCAAATCTATATATCGACTAGTTTTCTTATAAGAAAACGTCAACATGAAGAAAGTTTGTCCAATAGTAACACTTTCTCCAATGCTAATAAATTATCTTCTACGAAAAGGCTGTCTACAAGCAAATCTATCATAAAATCTGCGATGCTGGATACAAAAGGAAAAAAAGTTGATAAATTTTAATATAATTTACTTTATTAAATAGATATTAAGGTTATAAATTAAAAACAAAATAAATGTTATTTCTTTTAATTACCACAATAGTCTGAAGATGCAAGATCAGAGATGCGAAGTTTAAAAAAATCAAATTAGATTCTTTTTTAAATTTAACGAATAGAGAAAACGTTTAGAGCGATTTTAAGTTGGCCTTTTTGTTTATATTTGAAGAAAAAATTTTATTTAATTGAATTTTTCGTCTTTTCAAAGCGTTAATTAGAAGTGGTGCAGCAGTGTGGCTGCTTCACCAACCGAATTATCTCCATTGTCTTAGTCATTAATTCGTTTAAACTATTAGTCATCTCTAAAGTTGGCTAACGACATTGCTTTTCTTCAATTTTGCCATCAATGGCAGTTATATCTTTAGTAGCATCTCTCTCTCTCGCTCGTTTGCATTGCTCCTGCTATTCAATACACTCCACTCTAACGATTTTGTCGCACCAATAAAGAAGTTAAAT